CGGATACCACTTTAAAAAATCCTATTTGGAGGATTATAAAAACGGTGTTTTTTTTTAAACCCCGTGTCGGTAGGGGTGTGTGAAAGGGTTCTACTCGTAGTAAAGCGAGTGAGATAATTGGCGTCTCCCTAAGGCCCAATCCCGACTTGACCAGAGACTACATTTAAAATTTGCGCGAAGTTCGAGTCCTGTACATCTGTCTTGCTATATTAAATTTAGATAGAAAGCTACGTAAGCGAGATGTCTCAACCTTGGTCATTTTTGGCTAAGAGTCCAAAGTGTGTAACCCCATGGAATAGATGCATTGCTCTGCAGTATGTAAAAACTAAGTGTACAAATTTTGTACGGCTCGTCGTACTTTTTTGTAGTCGTACTAAGAGCAAAGCTTTCGGTGTTCAGAAAGCCTTAACACCCGCATAGTGCTTGAACATTCTAGTTGCTTTCGCCGGTTTGGCGGACCAATGAAAATCGAAGTTGCGATGAGATCCACTCATCACAAAGTTTTCCCTTAGGCGATTTTTTCCTCCATAACCGATCCTTATGGTCACAAATTGCTTAAAATTACGTGTGTTAAATATTATTTACAACACTTATGGGAATATCATATCCATCGGGATTTAGTAACTCGGATGTAACGCAATCATACATTATGAATCTCTATCAATTCGTTTATTTTCCGAAACTATCTAATAGTGATGATAATATTAAAATAGCTTGCGCCGGTGCTAACTTCTTTGCAGTGTTCTCGTGCTCTGTCAATATACTAAGCAGTGGCTCTTGAAGTCTCTTGTGGCGCTTGCAATTTTTAATCAACACAGACTCGTCGGCGATTTCTCGTGTTGATCACCAAAATCTTCTATTTTAGCCACACTTTGTGGAGGGAGCGGACCTTGTTTAAGGGGTATATGATTCTAAAATTGCAATAGATAAGTATTTCGTTCCTGTTGAAAGAGTACCTCTCTATCTCAGATTAACGATACACGAATTCAATTATGCCATGGATTTTTTCCTTTATCTCGTCGGTCAATCAATTTGATTGAGTACAAGCACTCAACTAATAACAGTATTCAAACGTTTATCTTAATAATACCAATTTCGTTCTCTCTTAAGTTTTATTTGCCAGGTAGAATAATAGAAAACACAATTAAAAACAACTTTCTTGTTAAACCTGTTCATGCTTTACATTTTGTTACGTTCAACATTTGATCATAATTTAATAAAAAACAAGTACATTTCATACCAAATAGACCCGCATCGCGGACTTCAGCTCCCTACTCTAAATGGGTCAATGGCGGTTTTTCCATTCCACATACAAATGCAGCGCTTCATAGAAGTCCTTCAAAATTTTCATACCACTTCCATAAGTTAAAATATTATAGTTGATGGCAGATTTCAAGCACTTTTATGTGAGTTGAGATTAGGTTTAACGTAATTCTACAATAGTGTATATGCTAGTTTTCATTTGCTCGCTAATATGCCATCACCAATGGCTCGTTTTCCAGACCCCAAATCATAATAATATTTCGAAAAGGCCTCTCCACTCTGTATTACTCCCATAACGGAAGGTAGCAACATCGATTTATGAACCGCGTCCGATACTTGTGCTGTTTGTTTATAGTAACTCATACTTCCATTGTAGGCTTAAATATCGGCTTGTGTGACCACATGGATATAAAATAATTTGACTGAGCCGCCGCATGAAAAATAATAATATAATTTATGCAGTGTTTAGTTGATGTCGAGCCACAAACCTTTCAAGGCTCTGATAAATAAGCGCGTAGGGACCCACATACGTGAACTGGAACGTTCATCGTGGCTTTGCACTTGCCTGGACATATGGATAAATCTAAAAATTACCGATTTTAAATCGACACCTCGACAAATCCGCTCCTTTATACCGATTTTTCCTCCAGGTCTCTGTTCTAAGGAAACATTTTCGAATCTCCTAGAATAAATACTATACAGCGGTATGTGTGTATTCGTTGGCCCGTCAGGATTAACTCGATAATTAACCCAAATAAAATTTTCTACTAAAAGTGTGTGGCGTTTGGATTTTCAAACTTAACTGATACTTAAATCAAACGGGTAAAGTGCCTAAACTGCAGCGGGTGATGCTCTCATCATGTTTCTTCGTGCAGTTGATATTTTAATCGCGTGCGATTTTCGTTCGAACCTCTATGGTTACTAACTTTATTATGTAAAGTTAAAAAATCTGCAAAAAACACTTGGATTAACTATATATAATCTCAGATATAGCATACTTCTTGTAACGCAAATTTAAATTAATCACGAAACTTCACCCCTCTGCGCAAATCGTATTTTTGAATAATTCACACATGATTCGGCTAAGGA